GATAAAACAAAGCAACTGGAAGGAAATAAGTTCTTCTCAGTTTTTTCTGGCCTTCACACATTGGCAGGCAATCCAATATTATAACAATTCACATTGGCAACAAGAGGAAAAAAGTGTGAATGCCATAGATGGACAGATGCATAAGGTATCTTTTTAAACATCACAACTACGTTAGACAATCAGAGAAGATCAGATGTCTCAGAATGGCTACAGTCCAGAAATTTCTTCCTAGACAAGCTTTAAAATTCAGGCAATACAAAAATACTGTGGTTGTCTACCATTCACACTCCACAGAAAGCAGTGCATAATATGTGACTATGTTACACTAATTTTAAAAAAAATGTTTCAGGTTATGTGAAATAACACCCAGAGAGTCTATATACTACTAAAACTCTTTTCTGTAACTTTTAAAACCTATAACTGATACGTTATCTCAATTATGCCAGCACAAATCAGAGCACCAAATTTGATTTTTTGCTCACATATACATAATGCAGAATAACTCTTAACTGTGGATATTACTAAGAGAGTTATAAGCTACAGGCAGCAACAGGCCCAAAATTATGAATGAGTCACGGCTAGATCTATTAGCTATTACACAAATAGAATGCACAATTAGGATTCAAGCCACAGAATAGTTCTTCAGTGTTACATAGAAACAAGACACAACAGCAACTTTGAAATCTATTTCATTATGCTAGATATTTCAGACAAAAGGATTCCTCGTGATGTTATGCTACACCATCTGATCTTCTGCTAACCTTAATTGAAAAGGTTGGGTGAAGGGAGAAAAGAAAATCCATGCAGTAAAAGGAGACCCAATGAGGAAGCCATTATTTTACACCTAGGCAATTGAGAAGGTGCAGGAAACATTCCCAAGGCTGGAGGAGGTAGCCTTCCCTTGTTCAAACAGAAATTCACTCAGTACATATGGGAAAGAGTGCCTATCCCCTGGAGAATGTGGAAGCATGTTTCTTACTGAAATCTGGCTCATGCCTGGCAAATCCTGTCAGAAACCAGAAACCCACTACCCCTTTCTTCCCCACACTCACCATCCTCTGTCTCGGAAGAATCGTTGGGCTCCAGGACGTAACGCAGTTTGGTATAGTTCACGTAGCCTGGCTCAGCTGGCAGACTTTCCAGTTCAAAATTGGCTACGAAAGATTCTTTGGGGGAGCTCTCTAGATCAGAAACGCTACCGGTTCCAGTAGACGATGCGGAACTATGAGCCACACTGCCATGTAAGCAAGATTCCAAAGTCTTCCTCAGATCCCAAGAGCCTAAAGTATCCTGGCCCAGAGCCCCAGAGTCAAGGAGGCACTTGAGTCCCTTGCCTGCTGCTGCTGCTGCTGCTGCTTCTCCTTCTACGGGTGCGCTGCCTCTGGCTTCCTTGGCCCTTCGGAAGATGTCGGCGACAAATTCCTTTGCCATAGCTACAGCGGGTGAGACGTGGGTATCTGTGTCGTGGGGAGGTACCGCAAGAGGCTGTGTTAATGGAGTCTCGCTCTGGCAGGAGCAGTGGTCTTTTTCCAACCCTTTCTCTAAGCCTTCAGGGCAATGTGTGATAAGGGATGCGTGGTTCACTTCCACAACAGGGGCCCGGGTCTGGCGACTCCTGTCATAGAGAATTTGGCAGAAGTTGCTGTCATCTAAAAGGAAACAACGACAATAAAATCAGAAGTGCCACATAATTTCTATGGCACATTTTCAAGGACTTATTTGTAATACGTTGCTGACTAAATTCTATTCAGAAACCAATACATCAACATATATGTACAAATAATCAGTTTTGGTTGTGTCAACTACGCTCTTATCATTTTTCCCCACTGGCAAACTGGGCTTTAGTCTGTTCTCCAGCAAAGCTTTTATATATATATATATGTATGTATGTATGTATGTATGTATGTATGTATGTATGTATGTATGTATGTATGTATGTATGTAT